ATTTTTCTTATAAATTCAAACTTCTCATATTGTTAAAATTTCATATTTAATTTTTTTTTAAAATAAACTCATGTAATACATGGGTCTCACACCTAGTTTATATTATACTAAAAAGTAGCAATACGTTGAATAACAAAAACATTACAAAACTGAAATAATTAAATTAGGATTATACTAATATCCAATCCAATTCGGTTTAAACTTAGAACTTCACCCATAATCTAAAACAAATATTGAATAACAATCTTATGGAATATATTTTTATCTAGAATTAACTACTCCCAATGTCATGATATGGGAAAAGTTCCAGATCAACAAAAAAAAAAGTATCATATTCGCATCCAAGCATTTATTATGTGTGGGGCTGGCTTTCACAAAATTTGTCGTCCGATCCAAACTAAGACTATCAACATTGTTAATCTTAGATAAGTTTCCAAACATATTTTAGTATTTTATTATTTTATTATTTTATAAGTATTACTTTTATATATTATGTATGATATTTTTTATTCGTTAAAATAAAAATGAATATATTTTATATATAAGTTATATAATGTAACAGAAATTATCAAAACTCTCAAAATTTTAAAATACCAAATATTATAAAACATTATGGTTACATAATACTTTATCTTTTTTTATCTTATATAACTCTAAATTTAAGAATTTTATTATCTTTTGTAGTATTGAAAATTATACTTGACATAGTTATTATTTTAATTTTAATTTTGAGAATAAAATATAAAAATGTCATATGTTAGTAAATGATTTATACCTAATATATACCCGACAAATTGTTTTTGAAAAAATCACCCAAAAAATATGACATACGTTAGTGAAATAATAAATTATATTCGAGGGATTAATAAAACATTTTAAATAGATAAATGATAAGTTACTTAATTAACTCTTTTTTGAAAAAATTAACTGTAGAAATGACATTTGAATAAAACATTTTGTTATATAAAAGTTAATAAAAAGATGATTGTAACAAAAACAATAAAACTTTATAAGATTAACCATTATAAATACTCTTACAATTTATTCTTTAAAAATATATGTTCAATGTTAAATATTTTTACCAAGTTATATGTTAAAATAAAATAATGCGATTAGCGTATGTTAAAATAAAACAATGCAATTAGCTTATGTTCTAGAAAGTGAGACAATTGAGAGATATGTCTATTCTATAGCCATCAAGTCGGTAATTGGTTTCTTAATCACCAAGACTTTACGTTTTTTTTTTCGCGGAAAAGAAGTCATAGAAGGGGATGGTGGAGACGATGAACATAAATACTTTTTGTTAAATATTTGTATCTTTTAAGGGGTATTAATCAAAGAGTCTGTACATTTTAGTCAACTCTATCAAACAATAAAAACAAATTATCTATTCACAAACTGAAATTAGAAAAAATATAAATATAATATAATATAATATAATATAATATAATATATAATATATAATATTTATAATATGATATATATAATATATTCAAAGAAGTACGTTTTAAGATATTTTAAGAATTTTGATTGAATGTAACTTTCTAATCTATTTAGAAAATAAATTAGAGTACTTGATAAAAAAAATATACATTAAAATAAAAAAAGAAATTATAAATTGTTACTTGGATTTTTCATAATATTTGTTTATTGTTTTATAAATTAAAGTCAATCCAAATTCAAAAATAATATTTCAGTTTATCTATAGTTTAGTCTAAATTAGGGGTGACCAAAAACCAAACCGATAAAAGAAAAACCGCAACCGAAAAACCGAAACCAACGCAAAAACCGATTGTGCAGATTTTATTTTTTTGAAAAACCGAATTTATTGGTGCGGTGCGGTTTTTATCTAGAAACCTGACCACCAAAACCGAACCGAACCGCAAGCTTATTAACAATAAAATAAATCACTAGTTTATATTATACAATTATACATATTATTAAAAAAACTAATAAATTCTAATTTATATAAATATTATATATTGAACTTGACGGTAATTAGTAATTAGGTATTAGGTTTAATATGTGAGTTTGTCACTTTTTGTTTGTGACTTAATGATTATGTGTAAAGTGTTAACACTATGTGGGCTACAAGTTGCAAGCTTCTAAATTCTAAACACAAATTGAATAAAAAATGAGCTTGGGAATATGAGTTGCAAATGAAATGATCAAGTAAACAACATAAAAAACTCAAAATTACAGCTTCTAAATGTGAGGAAACGAAATGACAGCAGGTCATACAATCATAAAACTTCACATGAACACCACGGTTAAATAAATCATACCGGTGAACATAAAAAAACGCACCATATGTTTGAATCGGTTTAAAACCGACACCAAACCGAAACCGCACTAAAAAACTGCAAAATCGAACCATTGAAAAACTGCACCCAATGGTTTCTAGAATTCAAAAACCGCACATTGCGGTCTGCAGTTCAGTTTGACCCTAAAACCGCATCAAACCGCACCATGTTCACCCCTAGTCTAAATTGTCCAGCCATACAATTCGATTTTATCAAAATAATGAATAACCTAAAATACAAATTGGTTATAAGTCATTACATATGACCTAATATTTTGGTTATTTATTGAAATGATCACTAATTTCAGAATGATCAATTCAATGATTAATTGGTATAAAGTATTTATTCTTTTTTTTTTAATTGTAGGCAGCCATTTTTTTTTCTCTCGTCTCTATCAATGAATGTAGGGAGAATAGCTTAATTTTTTTTTCATGAATAACAAGATGTTACGAAGTCAGTTTATTTTTGTTTACTTGAAATTGCTTTTCACTTGATTGATGCTTAAAAAATAAATTTCACATTGTTCATAGGATTCTGGATTTCGATATTGTTCAACGGAATCCAGATTTCAGTAGTATTCATCTGATGTCGGATTTCTAATTCCAGAATACGTATTTTCCTTTTCTTCCTATCTAATAAACGAAACCTTTTCTCCACTTGTCACTTCCACCAAGCATTTTACATCAAAGTGAATTTCCAGTTATACCCCTCCTTCATTCAATATTCAATTCAGTTCAGCTTTTTTGGATCTAAATTTGAATTCAAATTTTGAAATACAGACTATCTCTTAAAAATCAATTTCTCTCCCCTCTTTAGAAAAACCTAGGTGTCGGGACCTTCGTCTTTGTGTAGCTTCAAGATCCCGACTTGGATTTCAATCTTTACCCCATTCCTCTTCACTCCTAAACAATAAATGGATTCGAAAATAGGTATTTATTCTTTTAGTTCGATTTTCATCTTACCTCCCATGCTATGGATATCAGATATTGTCGTTTGCAGCCACCTCCTCTGCTGTGGATATCATCTATGCTTTCATGCTCTTCAATCAAGTTCAGAACCCTAACCTTTTTCATATGGGATACAAGTTTCTCCAGGAGCTCCAACCGACGAATGGAAATATCTTTTTTATTGATATGTTGGTTCATTTATCTGTGGACCCAGAAAGACTCACTTACCCTTCAGTTTTCAAGGATTATACATAACTTGGTTTGGCATGAGATGGAACTCAGCTTCATGGCAGAATTTTGAAATTAGGGTTACAATTTGATGTTTATATAAGTAACACCATCATACACATGTATGCCAATTGTGGGTATTTTGGTGAAGCGATTCAACTCTTTGGAGATGGTGCAGATGTAGATGTTGTTGCTGGGAATACAATGATTATGTCTCTTTTAAAATTTAGGAACATAGACAATGCACATGATATGTTCGATGAAATGCCTCATAGAAACTCTGTTTCTCGGAATAATATGAGAAATGGGTATGTAAGAAAAGGGAAGTGGGTTGAAGCATTAGATCTTTTTAGAATCATGCAAACAAGGAAGATGAAGCCAAGTCAGTTCATCTTGGTGAGTTTGTTAAATGCTTCAGCAAACTTAGGAGCATTGAATCAAGGTGAGTGGATTCATGATTAAATAATGCAGAACAAAGTGGAACTTAATGTAATCATGATTATTACGATAATAAACATGTATTGCAAATATGGGAGCATCGATAGAGCACGAAAAGTCTTGAATCATCCCCTATACATGGATTATCTTCTTCAGACTCAATGATCATGGGTCTTGCAATCCATGTCCATGGGAATGAAGCAATCAAGTTATTCTCAAAGCTCGAATCATCTATCTTTAAGCCCGATTGTATAACTTTCATTGGTGTTATAACTTTCATCTATCTTTACGCAACTGGCCTCTATGTATGTATCCTATTTATTATGTCATTATGTTCATTGGTATGACCTTCATGCAAGTTGCTTCACTTTGTATTTCATATTTTTTTAGTAAATTACATGCTTTCTTTAGCAGTTGTTATGAGTTTATGGTAGCGATCGTTACTAATATAAATTGACAAGATATATACAATAATGTAAGTATTGTATTGCTATATATGTAAAAAATCAATTTTTTGGCAGACATATATGATGATTTACTTTTACAGAGAGTTAATCTTAGTGTTGTTGAGAAGTTGCATAAAGTTGCCCCTACCTATGTAATGTTGTAGCTTGGGGATGCTCAGTTTTTATTAATTTTATGTTTCATGTTTTGTATTATTTTAACTTAAATCAATTTATTTTAGTTATTTTAGTGGCATGATATCCTTTTATTTGTAGAGGACATATGTGTAAAATCAATTCCGAGGGTAAAATTGCCAAGCTACTGAAAAGATGTTACTTCAGGATCTGGGCTTCTAAAAAATCTATGACAGGATGTTAGAGCAAGTTTTAGTTTTTAATCACAGAAGTTTTCAATTCAAATTTTTGTATTTTTTTTTCATTCATTTGGGATTTACTTTTCACCCTTTTGTAGTGTCATTTTATTACCAATGACTATACATATATAATGTATATCGGATATTCAAATTAATATATATATTAACTTTAAATATTAAATGATTTCTAAATAAAACTTATATCTTATTAATTTAATAAATTTTCGTAAATATTTTATGTTTTATAAAAAAACTCATTTCTCTTTCATCAATATTCATAGATTTAAATCAGTGTTTTGTGGTTATCTTAATATTCATATCAATGTTGAAATCAAAAGAAAATATACAATAGTTTTTGTGTGAATTTCATCTTGCAATCATGGACAAGTAAAGCTTTTCTGTTAGTTTTTATGACTTTAAAATTGAATATATAACGTTGTATAAAAAGAAATGAAAAAATATACTAATTGAAAAACAAATCATTTTTAATATATTGATAAATGGGTTGATATAATTTACATATATAGTCCCTGATTTAACATCTTAATTGACTTAAATGGTCCCTATTTCATAGTTTTTCTAAAAAAAATTAGTTAAAAGTTTATAATTAATTTAAATTTTACACAACATACTCTTATAACACTAATGGTTTTCCAATTAATTTACACAAGTATTATACCTTATGTTAATATTTTCTTTATGCAACATATTCTATTAAATTATATTTTTTAATTGATACTTAAGAAAAATGAAAGTGTTGAACTCAAATTTAAAAATTAAATAAACAATATATAAACGTCTTAATTAATTATTTGTTTTAAATTTAATATACATTTATATATACATTACTATTTACAAAATAACTTTTCACTATCATGTTTTTAAAAAAACTACTTTAATAAAATTTTATAAATCTTTGATTTTCTATTATCATTTTTAATCATCGATATTATTTTTCTTTCTTACCCGTGGTTTCCACGGGTTGTAACCTAGTTTCATAATAAAACAACATGAATGTTAATTAGGGTTTAGGATTTTCTTGTATTTTAATATTTTTTTTAATATATAAGTGAAAGTACTAACTTTTTGTTTTTCGTATGAATTTCTTATTTAAATGATACATATGTAAAGAAATGACACAACATGCTAACTTTATGATTGTCGAAAAACATATCAACCGAAAAACATACAGTTTTTAAGAGTTTTTAAATCAAACAAATGATATTTTTGACTATGTGTTTGAGTACCATTCACCTTATACATAGACATGGACTTAATTCTAGTTCATGATTTTGACGGTTGTATCGACTCGAAATGAAGATGGACATGTTAGACTTGTGTGTCCCACCTATTGGTTATGACTACATTTTTCCTATTATTGAATAGGGATGTAATACAATTATTGTTTCATGGACGTCTATTTTGGTGTTTGTCCATCATCATCGATAATAATTCATATGGTTGTTCGTATTTTGCAGGAAATGACACATGATGCATCATGTATATGTTACCACGATGTGATACGTCGTTTTGAACGTTTAGAAACCCTTTTGAGTTGATTTCAAGGTTGGAAAAGCACTTTTGAGCGAAGATTTGAAAAATCGGAAGCTATGAGCATTATGACTAAAAATTAGTTTGCTTTATGATTGTGTTTAAAATTCTCTTTCAATGTTTTTTTGTTTCTATTTACTGGTTATGAGGTAACTGAAAACTAACAAGTGAAAGACATATAACGGCTAGGGTTTCGTATTATTATCAAATAGAAGTACAAATACAATGAAAGAACAAGACATAATATATATAGACTAGATAATTAGGGTTTCTTAGCTAATAGGCTCAATCATAAAAACCCAATACAAGATAAAGACCAAAATCCTATTAGGCTAACATCCCCCTCAAACTCACAATGCAATAGCAATAAGCATTGAGAGTTTGTCAGACACAAAATGGAATCGAGGAGCAGTCAACAGCTTCCTAAGAATATCAGCAATCTGCAAAGAGGAAGGAACATAAGGAAGGGAGATAGTGCCCTTCTGGAGATGATGTCGTGTGAAATAATAATCAATCTCAATGTGCTTTTTGCACTCATGAAACATTGAATTCTTAGCAATCATTACCGCACTCTCGTTGTCACAATACAAAGGGGTAGACTGAGAGATGTGAACGCCCATAACTGCAAGAAGCCATCTCAACCAAACAATCTCACAACTGGCAATAGCAATGGCTCGACACTTAGATTATGTAGAAGATCGAGAGACAACATCTTGTTTCTTGTTTTTCCGTGATATCAATGAATATCCAATAAAAACACAATACCCAGTAGTAGACTTACGATCATAAATATAACTATCCCAATTTTCATAACTATAGGAACGCAACTCAAGAGAGGATGTAGATGGAAACACAAAAGTGCAGAACTGAGTACCACGTAGATATCTCAAAATACAAAGAATAGCTCCCCAATGAACAAATTTAGGAGTAGTGACAAACTGGCTAACCACATGAACTGCATGAGCAATATCCAGTCTAGTGACAGTCAGGTAAACCAAACTCCCTACAATGGTATGATAAAGGCTTGGATATGATAATGGGACACCATCAGTTGGAGAGTACTTTGCATTACTCTTTATAGGCATATCAACTGTCTGATTCGTGCACGCTCAAACAAATCTGAAATATACTGCGTTTGAGATAAAAGATAACCCTTTGGAGACTGAGCAACTTCAATCCCCCAAGAAATAACGTAGAAAATCCAAGTCTTTCATAGCAAAACGGTGAGCCAAATAACGCTTTAAAGACTCTATACCATCATGATCATCACTAGTAATAATCATGTCATCGACATATAAGGAAAAAATAATCCGACCAGTATTTGTATATCGAACAAATAGAGTCGAGGCATGGTTACTTGGTTGAAAACCAAGCGAAGTAATCACCACACAAAATTTCTAAAACCAAGAACGAGGGGCTAGTTTGAGGCCATATAGTGCCTTCTGAAGTCGAAAACTTCACCTGGTTGGTGAGAAATACCATGGGAGGAGACATGTATACTTTCTCATGAAGATCACCATTCAAGAACGCATTCTTGACATCCATCTGATAAATATTCAATTAGCGAATGGAAGAAACTACAATCAAGGTGCGAACAGTCATCATTTTTGCAACAAGAGCAAATGTCTCCTCATAATCCATACTATACTTTTGCGTGTACCCTTTCGCAACAAGTTTGGCTTTATAACGCTCAACGGAGCCATCAGACTTTGTTTTGATTTTATATACCCAACGACAACCAATCGTGTGCTTTCCGGGCGGAAGCGAAACCAGATCCCATGTATGAGTCTGATAAAGAGATGCAAGTTCCTCAGCCATAACAGTTTGCCAATGGGGATTAGAAACGACCTCTTTGTAGGATGTTGGCTCAGAGAGACGATGTACATTAGAATTAAAGGACGTAAACACTGGTGAGTAAGAGGAATAGACAAATTCAGGAAGCTTTGTAGACTTCTTATTACGATAAAGCCACAATGGAGGGGGGTCTTGATGACCTGCAGGCAGAGGATCTGCGATAGGTGGTGGATCAGTAGCAGGTGGTGGATTACTAACATGTGGTGGATCATCAATGTCAATGCTATACAAATTAATAGGACGAATCTCCTGTCGGGTTGTATCATGTGACTGAACATGAATGCTACAGAATGGAATATGCTCAAAAAAAGTGACATTGCGAGAGACATACAATTTCTGATTTGATGGATCATAGCACCGATAAACTTTCTGACCAAGATTATATCCAAGAAAAACACAAAGAGCTGATTTTGAAGACAACTTATCTCTCTCTACATGAGGCTTCAAGACAAAACATGTACACCCAAACACTCGTAATGAAGAATAATCTAGAAGTTGTCCAAACAACAATTCATAAGGAGACTTCCCCGAAGTGCGCAATAGGAATGTGATTAATAATGTAAGTGACGGTATGAATAAATTATCCCTAGAACATATTAGGAACTTGAGCAAAAAGTAGTAAGGATCTTGCAGTTTCTAGGAGATGTCGATGTTTTCTTTCTGCAACACCATTCTAATGAGGAGTGTTTGTACAATATGACTGATGTACAGTGCCATCAGACGCCAATAATTGTTTAAAATCATTGGAGGTAAATTCTCCTCCCAAATCACACTGAATACATTTTATGACAACAGAGTGTTG